GAAGAAATGTTTCGTCAGCCACATTATAGGAACCACGAAGTGCATTCTAACGGCAGCCACACGGTCCAGCGGGCAGTGGGGACGTCCCAGCAATCCCCCTGACACAAAGCAACCAACACTACCACCTGTTTCAGTGTCGGCTCAAGACATTTCAACCTCCCCAAAAGTGAGCCCCAGAAGAAACACAGACACAATAAATTTAAAACACTTAAGAAACCCATTTAGGCAAACAAGGTAACAACTCATTTATTGAGCTACAGCAAGACGATTGTGCCCTTTTCCAATGCAGCTCGTAGAATCTCACTTAAGAACAAACGAAGCCCTGTTGCTTGTCATGCAGAGTGCGTTATCTGAGAAAAAAAAAAGTGTCTCCAAGGACTTTTTATTTCGTATTTTCGTTTTCTTTCTTTTCTCTCTTTTCTTTTTCTTTTTTTTTTTTTACTTGAAGAAAGAAGAGACAGGACACCGTGTGTTATGTGTAGTGTTGCCGCAACCCGCGTTTGTGGCACGTGAAATGTACGTGGTCGAGTGCGGGTGATCGCATGCAAACCGAGACGTGTCTTCCAATCTTTCACACAAATCTCTCTCTCGCATGCACACACATTCAAATTCACAAGCCAAGCAGCTGAGAAAAACACACATTTGGCATGACCTTATTGTGATCAGGCTGAAATCCACCAAACACTATTGGGCGAAGGTAGCTACGTTAACAGGTTTTTTTTGCTTAAAGGGGCCCAGCAACAATTTTTTCAGTGCAGTCACAAAATGGTATCGATCGATAGTCCAGACTCCCGAGAACACGCGAGCCAGACACAGCGTAGCAAGCCGCCTGGAATTCACAATTAATTTCAAAGCCGGCCAGAAATCATCCCATATTGAGAACTAAACCTTGAGAACTAAACTTCTTGAGAGCCATAAACCCAAACGATCACGCCATAAATCCAAAGTCCACAGCTATTAGCTAATTAGCACCATGAGCTGCTTAGTTACCACAGCCGCCGCGGAATGCCGCAACGCGCCCGCACGCTCGTTTGATATCGCACAGAAAGTAAGTCGTACATTCAAAGAAACAAAAAGGACGTTTTCAAGCTATTAGCTAATTAGCACCATGAGCTGCTTAGTTACCACAGCCGCCGCGGAATGCCGCAACGCGCCCGCACGCTCGTTTGATATCGCACAGAAAGTAAGTCGTACATTCAAAGAAACAAAAAGGACGTTTTCAAGGACATGACGCATGCTCACGAATGAAAGCACCTTCCTGCTCTCGCTATCATTCTCCTGCAGAGCTTTCAGCACACCTGCTGGTACAAAAGGAGACAGAAAACGGCTGGAAGCGTGTGATAAATCTTTGATGTAACTGCGCTTGTACTTGACAAATTCCCAATATTCTTGCAGCAGCCAATTCGTGAAGCAATAGGCGCAGCAATTTGATTATTACTTGTAAGTTTGCAGGGCCCCTTTAACGGTCTAAGTGAATATGAATAGCAAACAATATATGCAAGTACATATGTTGAATCTTATGTGTATAAAGAAAACAAGCTCAGAAGCTGTTTCCCAGTGAGCGAAACGTGGCAAATCAAAACTTGGCAAGGGCATGCCCGACGTATTACTTTCCTTTCTTTTTGTGATAGCTGGCCGCCATTCTAGGAACGCTGTTTTGGGGTTAAATAGGCCTCGAGATTTTTCCAGCGCTCATTAGCACATACAATGGCTCAACAAAAGGACAATTAGTTGATTATGAAAATGTGGCTTAGGAATTCAATAACCATTTTATGTCTGAATGTGTAGTCTTACCACCTTCAATTTGAACTACCTTCGACGATCATGTGGGTGGAAGCCCTTTCAAAGAAGGAGCTAGACCTCAGTTCAGGACAGCTGCATGGCTTGGAACACGTCGATTCCAAGCAATCAGCACCATAGTTTAGTGGGTCTACACCACTGAACTCTGAGCTTAGACTTTGACCAATGAATATTGGTGTGGACCAAGAAACTTTGGTCTAGGCCAGTCAGCGTTGGTCTAAGCCCGTACACACGCACACTGGTCTCTATCTAGCCAATCTTACGCAATGAGTGCAGCACTTTTAAAGAAGCCGACGAGATCAGTTTTTAGCTTCACTGACAACCTCACAGACATTCAAACAGGATGATGCTGTGTGCAGTAGCTTCTATGCACATGAAGGCACACAACATCACAAATGCAAGGATAAGTACCGAATGGCAGATTATTTTGGGGGAACCAAGTTGTATAGTCTGATGACTGCTGCATTGAACGCAACAGCAACCTTTTGAACGGTTACGAAAAGCTAGCTCCCACAACAGTTTCAAAGCACTGGAATCAAATACAGGAATGCCCTAGAAAATTTCAGATGCGCGAATCGCTGCACATTGCGTAGAACTGACAGATTAGACCATGGTCACACGACCAGCGGCATCCCAAACTTGGGTTGAGACTTCAAGAAGAAGACTGACTGCACAGTCGGCCTTGCTTACATGTCAAATCGCTACACGCCCTTGCGCATGAAGCGATTTGGGTGGCCAAAAGTGCGGACCACATCACACCTCACTCACTCCCGAGCACTCACCCTACTTCACACGTCACAACCACACTCGTACAAACATCCTACACAAGCACACAGAAGAACCGAGTTAAAAAAGATACGCACAAGATGCGCCTGCCCCATTCAAGAAGGCTAAAGCACAGAGTTGTCTTTTGTCAGCGCTCTGACCGAGTTAACCTGAGCTCAAAATTTGATTCGAGCTACGATTCTTAAACCAATCACATTATGTAATGGCTTTTCAGCAATTATTTCTATTCTTATATATCGAACGATTTTAACCGAGTAGGCCTCCCTGAGTTCAAAATTGCAAGCCAGCAGCCTCACCACACTAGACTATCAATATGAACTGAAATCTGTGCTGCAAGACACAACTGGAACAAAAAGGCTGTACTGCACAGAAATACACAACACGAAATCTCAAAATCTATTGTTCAAATCTGCTAACATAACTTAAAACTCCAGAAATGCTACCATTTCGTTTGCATAGCCATCACTACTTCCGTTACTGTTCCCTCAAAACTGCAACAGGGCTTCACAACCCTGCTCTATCTTACTGCCATGGAGAATTTGTGCGTACACAAATACATCTCAACTATACTCCATGTTGCAACTGAAACTTTTTGACATCTCGCACAACAACCAACAATCTTGCTACACCCACGATTTCCCAAACAGTAGATGGTTGATGAGGCCACATAACACGTATAAGGGTTAATGACGCAGTGTTCTAGTCAGCAACGAACCACCCGCTGGCCCTGTGGAAAGCTCATTCAAGTGCATTAAATGACTACGCTGTTGCAGGAAGATAACATGCTTGTTTAAATATAGGACGCATATGAAGGGACACTATAAGCGAAACCAAGAAAAAACCAACAATGCGAGCAAGGACGTACCGCAGGACATTGCGCAAACAACCAAAGGTGAGATCCCCGAAGGCTGATCCGATTACTACAATCGTTTAATTTACAGCACCACACGAAGCCACAGCAGAGGCTCTAACCTATACGCGAAACCTCTGCCATCAAATTGCCAAGAAACATGCCACAACCAAAAGATATGCACAAGATGCGCCTGCCCCATTTAAGAAGGCTGAAGCACAGAGTTGTCTTTTCTCAGCGCTCTGACTAACCTGGAGTTATGCCAACAGCATCAAAGATTCAAAGCAGCACGAAAGCCAACAGTGTTGTGGAAAGACGCAACTGTCAAAATACATTTGCCTTTACACACACGCTCTCTCTCTCTCTCTCTCACACAAACACACACACACATGCACACACACTCTGGCTAACCAATACACCCAGATTTCACAGCCATCCATACAGTGTGCAGATTCAACTACTTACTGCAAGTTTTTTTTTTCTTTCTTTCCCTGACAGGGCACTCAAAAGAGGTTCCGCAGAAACTGTACCTAAATTACTCGCAACCTGTGCTCTGGGCGGAGAACCCTGTCGGCCGTAGACTGACGCATTCGTTGCCCAGTCATGTGAAAGCGATCCCATGCATCTCACTGTAAAACCTGAAAGTAATTTCTTAAAAGCACTGCCCAATTAGCTTTGTCACAATTCCCACTAAGTGGAATCTTCAGGGATGGACTATCGTAAAAGACCGTCTGCCATAACCCTTAGCCTTCGCAACACTGCACGAAAGTCGGCGAGCAACGTTTCATGTAGAACCTCTTTTCACACCCTGTAGCCCATAAAAGCATGCATGGGCTCCATCGTTTCTTTTTTTTCAATTTAGATTAACACAACTGTTTGTGCAGCATGTGTAGTTGTTGTCTTTGAGATGTGTGCGTGATGGCACCTGTGCAGGAGAACAAGTCAAACTCCACTCAGTAATTGAGACCACAGTGAATGAACGGGAGACAACTTTGCTCTCTTCGAAAGAGGGGGGGGGGGGGGTCACAGTTTATGAGGACACTTATCAAGAGACAAGACCCCCGCCGCCCCCAGACCCAACCCCGTGAAAGTGAAAAAAAGAAATTTATTTGTCTTCAAGGAAGACCGCGTGGGGCTCCCCTCTAATCGGCCAACCTGAAATGCAGCTACTTTTTACACACTCCACTATGCCAAAAACAAGCAGAGACAGGCAATGAGTTTTGAAGCATTACTAACAAAAAAGGCGTGTCGACTTGCAACTTTCTGCTGAGGGCATGGCTTTAAAGATGTCAAATCCAAACAAAAGATACCAACCAGTTTAACTGCAACCTGAATAGGTTTCACTACTCTCAATTCCAACATTCACAGCGGGAAAAGTCGCAAGTGCCGACACACCTACTCTTGGGAAAAAGCGGCAGGGAGAGCAGAAAAAAACAGAGGTCGGGACAACAGTGGGGCTGTGTTGACGGAGCAGGCCCGAGGCGACGTGGAAGACACCAACTTAAATAAGAGAAGAAGAAAAAAAAGGTGAAGGTAGAAGTGAGAAATGTGGCAGATACGAAACCTCGTGTTCAATGTAAATCTTCCAGTAGCGGCCAGCATTGGGGAACTGCGTCACTATCTTCTCGTAGAGCGGCCGAGCCTCCTCGATCTTCTTGTTCTGCGCAGTCCGAGGGCCAAGGGAGTCGGCGCACACACAGGGCGATGGGAAAACAAAAATGAGAACACGTGTGTTAGAAAATGTGCAAAAATCACTTTGCTTTTCATTGTTGAAAGCAAATTTTCCACTAGGCTTTCACATCTTGGTTGCAAGTATGTTTTCTTTAACAATTTTTTTTTTACTCACCACACAAGTTTTCATTAAACCCCGTACTTGAAACTGCAACGCGCGTTTTTATTTTCACTTTTGTTTCATTTGGTTTCCGCCCCAGACCCCATCAGGAATGCTCAGCGCAAACTGAGCCTCATTGTTCGAGAAGGTTTACAATTATTACACATCGTTCACTTAAGGCTGCACACAAGACACTGATAAGGCTGGATTATTCAGCGGCACATGCATAAATGCTAAATCGCGGCCCCGCTTGTCGGTTGAGTGACAGCTGACACTCTGTTCACCGCTATCAGTACCAGCGTGCATCGCTGTAATCGGACTTTCCGTTCACCGACCACAAGTTGGGCCAAATGATTCGTTTAATCTTGGAACTACTGTCATCTCTCTTCGCCCACGTCACGACTTCCTCACAATACTTCAAAAAGTCGTCCGTGGTGCATGTTCTTTTAAACACAGTGCCGACACAAAAACTACATCTCGTTTTTATGTGAGGCAAGAAGTTCCAACCCAGTTACAGTCACGGGAAACATCATTTGACAGAGCGCACAGTGGGTTATCATTTGAAGGCTCACATGCACACAATGCTGCTCACCAGGCACACCACAAGGGGCTTCATGCGCATGTGAGCAATGCATTCATAACCGCATCAGAGAATGCAAATAGCATGGCAATTCACAAGCTCGTGATGATGTCTACGTTCAAACCAAAATGAAGTTGACATCGTGAAGTGCTCCTCACATGAGGCGTATGCTACACAGCAGCATAGCATACACTAGACATTGCTTTTAAGCATGCGCTAGGTTATATTTACTGTTTATAGTTTGTAATGGTACACATGCGTCCACACATATCAATCTCGCAAGTTATTCCACCTTCAAGGTTTTTTTTGTCAGAACTCTCTAAAGAATATATACTCAATTTATTAACAATTTACAAGGTATATGCAAATGTCCCCCTTCTAATCGAATAGTGCGTGCTCTATGTCTTAAGGCCCGACAATCTGATATCGTAAGTACCCCTTTTCAATATATATAAAAAACTACAACACATGACTAACACTTCAAATGGAGCTCAGAAAACATAAAAGGCGGCTGAAATCTGATATGTAGGATTTAACGTCCCAAAACCACCATATGATTATGAGACGCCGTAGTGGAGGGCTCCGGAAATTTTGGCCACCTGGAGTTCTTTAACGTGCGCCCAAATCAGAGCACACGGGCCTACAACATTTCCGCCTCCATCGGAAATGCAGCCGCCGCAGCCAGGATTCGATCCCGCGACCTGCAGGTCAGCAGCCGAGTACCTTAACCACTAAACCACCGCGGCGGGGCCACTGTGCATGCTGAATGTGTTTGCATTGCATGAATGAGAGGCCTTTTTTTTTCGGCGAAAAAGGTGGGCGCTCTCAGCCACTGTTGGCAGTAAGACTGGAAAGATATCTGGGTCAGGAGTCTGTCGAGTGAACAGCAACTTCAGCAACTTCATGTCAGTCTCTGTTCCTTGTTGTTACAAATGAACGTCATGTAGACTTTTGTACGATAAATATACAACTAAATTTGCCTTAGGCACAGAGTCATTCAGCCTTTTTCCATGAGAACAGAGATTCACTTATACACTTAGGCAGGGCAACTTTTAGGACTTTTTAGCAGGGGCACAACCAGAAAATTTTTTGTGTGCCGCCCGTTGGCTTCGCTCCTGCTTTTTTTTTTTAATTAAATGTATGTAAAGAGAGGTTGCTTAATAGAGCTTGTCAGTTACATCAGAATTTATCATGCAGACTGAATGAATGACATTGAACAAGCTTAAGCAAAAGTGCAATGTATGAATTTACAGCCCTTTCGTCGCAATGTCAATGTTTTCGTGACATCTGCGAAGGCCTCTCACAAAATTCATGCAGATTTTTGCCCTGCACATATCTTTTCTCAAAAATATGTATCAGCAAGCCAGGCGAAAAATTCCACCATTGTACGAAGACCAAAACAGGACACAAGCAGTGACCCTACGTCAACTACAAACAAACAAATACCTTCCCGATTCCATTTCACCTGAAATAGATATTTCTCGAACTATTCGAAAAAAAAACGCAAGTGAAAAATGTCAACAGGAAGCTGCTACACTTAAACACATGTTATGGGAATGCAATGTTCAACATGCTAACGAGTTCCATTCCACCACCCTATCGCTGAGATGGGCCGCAGCTCTGCGCATCTACGAACTCGGTGACAAACTCGGGGGCCTTACAGCAGGCCCGCGATGCGGCAATGAGACAAGACCTCAATGTCCCTTTGTGAGTGACCTGAGCACGGGTCACTTGAAGCACTGCGGGACAACCTAATAAAGTTACAACCAAACAACGAACTCGACCCACAAAACTAACCATTTGGCTATGTACGGGTGTATGAAACTAATAGCATGACAAGTAGCTAAAGACACAGTTTAGTGCTGCTTGGTAGTCCCCACTAGAGGCACTCAGTCTATTGGCTAGATGCAAGCAACAATGCACAAAATTTCCTTTTATTGATACTTATTATCCCCAAGCAATACAGGGTTGGAAACTTCTAGTGCTGGAAACTGACGGTTTTCCAGCACTAAACTAGAGCCGGTACAGAGGGCAGTGTGCATATGCAACAGCAGTTGGCTTTGCCTAGAGGTTCCTTGCGGCCGCAAAAGTAAAGCTTTCTCAATGCAAAATTTGTGAAATCCAACCTCACTGGTAACAGATACTGCGAAAGTTGGCAAAAGTACTATTCAAAGAGCTGTGTGCCCCGAGATGTTGGCAATGTGTGAACATACGCCTCAGGAAACACTGAATAACACTACCCCGTAGTTACACTAAAGGGGTCCTGACAAAATTTTGCAGCCGAGAATAGCCTGCGAGATTCATTTCCGGGAACATGCGTATTGCATCTGCAAAATAACAGCAAATATAGCTTGGAGGATGTTTTACAGCAATTTCGAAAGTTTGAATTTTTAAGGCATTGACACCATCAAAAGGAACCCAATGCGGACCCCCTACTTCCCTCACGTGACCACGCTGTAGCCAACAAAAAAAGTTATAACGTCGTAGCCGCCATTTTTCTTTCGCCACATTTGTTCCAGCAGTCGATACACTGTTCGCGAGTTTGTGGCCACGGTGCACGCCTTGAAAGTTTTGTGTATGGCGACACTGTTGTCCCGTTTTCTGTTCGAAAGGACTTCTCAATGTGGACCGGTGCGCAAGTGCTGATGCAGTTGAGAGAAGCACAAACTAGGTGGCAATAGTTGCACCCCGGTGGCTCGTCATTTCTCAAGCTCTCTCCAAGTGAAACTGGTCAGTAGTGAGGAAGCCTGTACTTAATTATCGGTCGTGGGCTGCAGCAGACAATGTGCCGTGTTATGACTAACAGGCCCCCAGCAACAGATTGCAGCAAGAAAACACGAGGCCAGACTTTTCGTGTCAGAACCCCTTTAAGCTTTACACTGTTATTAGTTTCAACGCCTGCCGCTGTTTAAAAGAACAACCGTTTTTGCTCTCGCACCCTCTTCAATCTACATCCAGAATTTCTAAAGCGTATAACATTACCAGCAATGCAGACCAGTGTACGAGTCACCCATTCTTGTCACTACATCTCTATAAGTTTAACAATATAGACATTTCATAGCCCCGTGGCTTGATTACACACTTCGCGTGCTGCTCTTGTCATGATTATCCTCTTGACATGCACTTTTGAGTTTAACTGCATTCTTTGAACTAGTTTTTAGCGAGTGCTCGTGTTGTGAGGTTCTTTGTAAGCAGTCTGTTCCCACTACCAATTTGATGAATGAATAGCAAATGTCGCGTCACTGTCTCCTAACACTATTACAGTAACGAAAAAAGTGCAATTGAAAGCAGCAATGCAAGCCACAGCTTCTAGTTTCTTCCCTACCAAAGTAGCGCACCACTACCGTCCTCGTCTACTTTATAGTAACGCTCAACAAAAAGAAAATGAGTTGAGCGGCGAGTTTCTCTTTATCTGTGCGCGCTTAATCACCATTACAGGATGCCGACAGACGAAGGCACTACTATGCACTTACCTTTCATGCCTTTTTTGCAATAATAACAGAGACGACAGCGCCTGACCCAGCATTTTATATCAAAGGCCAAAAAAGCACTGTTTCAGGAACAACACCAATCGCTAGATGAGCTCCTCGAGTGAACTGGCTCTGCCCATGTCCTTTTTCCTCGCCTGTCCCACAACTATAACAGCATTGCTGCACCCCCTTCCCATTTACACGGTGGGCAGTGCAGACCAGCCCAAAAGAAGCAAGTGCAAGTAGCCTGAACTACTACCAGCATGTCACTTATGATAAAAGTGCCACTGCAGCAAAGTGAAAAGATGTATCACTAAACTAAATTATGAAGCTATGTCCTAGATTGCGCGATAAAAAAAATGAGACTAAATTGTCTCACTCTGACCGAGTGAGACAAATCGTCGCCGATTTGATTCAAGATTGCCTCGGCGGTGGCACCCCGACATTATAGCGAATTGTAGGCAACACCCGCTCTTTCATTCGTAGGTGACTGTTAACTGTAATATGATAAGAGCCTCAAGCACCATAACTGTCACCAGAGTCAAGACCGTGACCACCGAGTAGCTGCTTACAAATGGCTAGGTACGTTGTGGGTGGAAGCAGAGAATAACCGCTACCACCGGTGGTATTTGTCGCCCAGGTGAACGCTATTGCTTATTATTGCTTGACTGTTTTTGTTGTCCCGGATGTATATGCATCCACTAGATCAAGATGGGTGGGAGGTGAGGAAGTGGTTAAGCTTTGGCATGGCTGCTGAATCGAACTGATTTGTGGGGTTTAACGTCCCAAAACCACCACATTATTATGAGAGACGCCGTAGTGGAGGGCTCCGAAAATTTCGACCACCTAAGGTTCTTCAACGTCCACTCAAATCTGAGCACACGGGCCTACAACATTACCGCCTCCATCGGAAATGCAGCCGCCGCAGCCGGGATTCGATCCCGCGACATTTTCATCTTGGGCTTTAAAACTTTGTTAACAAATGAAGAAGTATACAGAGGTGGCTAGTTCAGAGCTGAAAAAAGCTTTATTTCATCAAAAATTAAATTTGGGAGGTTTATTAATTATATATAGAAATTCTGGCCTTGCAGACAATTACTGTTTTGCTCATTACTGCAAACAAAGTGGCATTATCTTCAAGCAATACACCATATTAAACAAATTTTACAAGTACTTTAGACCAACCTCACACTATGTCTGATGCGCTTAAGCTCGGTCAAAATTATGTCTGCTTGGTTAAACCATGTGGCAGCAATCACCGTGAATTTCAATATATTCCATACGAAACAAGTGCAATCATAATTAACTATGACTGTGTGACTACAGTAACAGTTATTTCTAGGAGACACCGGCTATGGAGTTTTTTTTACAACCTGTTAAACGACAATTGGAAGTGCCTTGCGACAGGTGTCATTACCGTTCGCTCACATGACTGCCAGCTTGCAAAACAAACAAAAAACCTGTTTCTGTGCACCTTATTGTTTCTGAAGCTTCATAACCACGCTAAATATCAAGCAGCAAGCAACCTAAAACAGTGGCTCTTTGAACAAATTTGTGCAATTCTCTAGTGACAAACTTGGGCATACAACCTCGCACACTGGTACTTTTGACCACAATCAAGGCCAATCCGAATTAGGTACCGCAATAAGGTCATGCTCTATTCACAGTCAAGCCAGATAAGAATTGGGAAAATCACGATCTGGTTCCGAGATTAAGATTAATATCTGGAGTTTCATGTCACATACCCGTGATATGATTATGAGAGACGCCCTAGTGGAGGTTGATTGATTGATATGTGGGGTTTAACGTCCCAAAGCCCTAGTGGAGGGCTCCGGAAGTTTTGACCACCAGGTGTTCCTCAACCTGCACGGACATCACACAGTACACGGGCTTCTACCATTTCGTCTCCACTAAAATGCGATCGTAGCGGCCATGATCGAACCTGCGACCTTCGGGTAAGCAGCCGAGCACCTAAACCACTGTTCCACCGTGGCAGGCCGTTCAGATATTGTGATGTGGATGACATCTGTGCCAAACTTAATCCCGCCTAGCAGAGACCTCTGTTCATAGCAATCAAGGAATCTAATCCATATCAGTTTTGACTGCAATCGTGAGTGTCCGTGTGACATCGTGTAAAACAATGATATGAATGAGCCCTTATGTTGGTCTGGTTGCAATGTAGTATTCAAGGTCACTTACGCAGCCTGCGTGCTATATTCTTTCAACCTACCAAGCCAGTCGGTGGACTTCAGAACAGACTGGTGCTAACTTTATGCTGCAATGACCATACAAGTAGACGTGAAAGACATCAAACCAAACATAGGTATGTAATCAGGGATTCAAGCATGACAATATTGTTTAGTATGACAACTGGTATGCGCGATTGCTCGAGATGACCACGCCATGTGGCGACAAATCTGGACTCTAAAGATAATGTTGGATCTGATCAATGCATTCCAGTTGAAATTATGTCAATAAGCCAAGCTGAAGACTGTGGGAATGAAAGCATGTGCGTTAATTAGCCCTGTCTCGAACCGTGAGTGTGCAACAGGAGGTATATTCTGGAGATATCAGCCATGTCTCACTTCTAGTACATGCTGCTTGGCCGTATGTCACACAAAGCCACACTGTCACTGAAAGTGATTGTCTCAAGCGTGGCCCCAGGCATGGAAGAAAATAACATATGATTTGGGAGGTGCAAATCCGTTTTTTGAGGCAACCAGACAACGCCATATCGCCAAATGATGCTGACGGCGTCTTGCGGCAGAAAAGAGAATCGCCGCCATTTCGGTTAACGAGCGAACCAGTCGCATGCGTTTCTCACATTCTGCCGCAGTCACTGAGCGGAGACGCGAAGCGCTTCGTTTTCTTGTTCTCGTGGTTGCGGCTTTGCGCCGCAGAACACCGCAAACTAAAATGCCTTCTTCAGAGCTTGTTATCTTTGTATATTATGTGACGTTATCTGGACTCCTGTGGACGCCCATTCTAACAGAAGTATCACCTCCTAAATATTTCTTCGTCTGTGGCCCACGTAACGCTTGATGGTCTGAACGGCAATGCCAGCGGCTGCCAGCCAAAGCCACCAACTCACGGCAGTATGAGTGAGAGCTTTCACGGTTCCTTTTTGCCAGAACACTGAAGCCAACCAGTCATAGTCAGTGCTTCACCTCCACAAGGTTTAACGTGTACCCAGTGGCAAGACCATCAACACTAACCACCAACGGCAGTCCACCAACGTTAACACTGCCCGCTCAAACTTTGCAGTGCCGAAGATAAGCACACGAAACAAGCAAGCAGAGTTTTCAGTGCTACTATGCAAACAACAAAAAGCCTAGCCAATGAGTGAACACCTTAAAAAACATTTCTGCTGCCTACTAGACATGATGATTTGATTTGTGGGGTTTAACGTCCCAAAACTACCATATCATTATGAGAGACGCCGCAGTGGAGTGCCTATTAAACAGAAGAGCCTAACAGAATAATTTGTTTCTGAAAGCCAACCAGTATCCCAACCACTGCTTTTGCTTCCTTCTTACAGTGAGGACATCTTGTGTTCAGGGACTTGACATACACTGTCAGGCGCTCGTATTTACCGCGGCGCTAAAACATTGCGGATTACCAATATGCTTAGACACAACTGAAAAGTACGAGTTATTTCTTATCAAATACACAACGCCCCGAATAACAAACCCCTTCTACGTTTCTTACGGTACTTCAAAATAAAAAAAAATCATGTTCCCCACATGAATGTTTCCCCAGCACGTCATCTGGCACCTGTGTTAGACACAGAACTAACGCGCTCTTTTATTTTTGACATCGCACACAAAACCAGCACACTTCCATCCGCGCGTTGCAAAGACCGGCGCAGAACGAGCGCGCAATAAAACGTGTGACACGTGTAAAAACGCATCGGGCCTGCGCGACAAAGCGCCACAGCAACAAAAAGCTCACCTGCGAGTCCCTAAGCAGAATGCTCCAGGCTTCCACGTCGTAGACATTTTGTTCGAGACGTTTCTCGGCGTTTTTCACCCTGTCCGGAATGTATCCCTGCACGACAGCAACCACACAGAAGAGGCCAAAGTTATTCGCCGAGCTCGCTACGACCGACCGAACACCCAGGCCACGGTAGACCGACTACGAGATCGGTTCTAGCGAGGCGCATTTCTCGGCTACTATATCAGCCGAAACCGAACACATCTGACAGAGTATCACGGGCAATAAGGCTTTAGTCAGACCCAGAAAACGTCAAGCACTCGATCGCGGTCACTGAGCTGTCAGGACTCTACTTTAGCACGAAATTACCGAAATGGTATAATTGACAACTTAGGCCTAGATGGTGCCCAAACCGCACGGCAGCAGCCACTGATTGTCTCTACCTTGCCTTCGAGTCACCGTTATACGGTAACCATACAGTCGGGATTTGAAAGAACGCCCGAGACGCTTACCTCCATTTGAGCCACGCTCTCGCGCTTGGAACCAGCGGTTAACATCGCGGCCACGGCGGACCGAGCAACGGCTCGTCCCACTTCACGTCCGATTTCCAAAACAAAAACTGGCGTTTTGGCCGATCGTCACCAGTGTCGCTGCAGTCGGTTGCGATGACGCATTCGAAGCAACAAGTGCCTTTTAAAAACAAAATTAATTTAAAAAAATGAAAAATGTTGTATTTTTCTTGTTTGAAAATTTTGGCACAATTTTTTGTGTGTGCTAATTTATTTTTGAAGTGCATTATGGCGCCATTTTTGAATGTCAACGCGGCTAGACGCTTCGCGCGGCGACTCAACAACTACGTTCGACAAACCGCAGTTGCACACAGAACACCTACAAGTTGCAGTCGTTGTTTCCTTCCTCCATGAGCCCAATCATTCACCGAAATGTTTAGCACTTTGTAAGTGTATCTGTTCGCACAATAACAATGATAATGGGATTCGGAACCCCAACCCCTCCACGCCACTTCTGCGCTTCACGAAAAAAAAAAAAAAAGATGTTGGGGTTTCGCGTCCAAAAACCACACCGTAGAGGATTGAGAAATTTCTACCATTTGAGGTTCCCTAACGTGCGCCTAAATCTCAGAACACGAGCTTGTAGCATTTTGCGTCCATAGAAGTGTGGCCGCCGGCCGCGACTGGGATTCGATGATGCAACCTTCGAGTTTAAAAAAATTAATATCCTGGCGAACCTTCTCGCCTCTAATGGGGCTTCAGTAGTTTCAGTGCAATATCGAAATCAACATTCGCCCCACAAATTGCTCCAAATCTTAAATTGACATCGAATCATGTCAAGCTGGTGTCTTCCCAGATCTGTTTACACTTCTCAATCTCTCCGGAGGTCGACGAACACTCATCTCCGCAAAACGCCGGCCCGCGTCGTGTGTATACATCGTAGGAAGAGTAGAGCAGATCCTCGCATCTGTGGCAGCGGTTACTTGCTTGTTTGTTCCTCTTTTCTGGCTCTTACCCACTTAGAGGGAACGGACAATAAGCCAGCGGTTAATGCAAGTAAACAATTTAGGACTATGCAGGTTAAGTAAAAGTAATTATCAAGCGACCTCAATACTCATCTACTTCCTATAGAGCGTAGAATATGTTCAAAATTGCATGAGAGTTTTGGAAACTGTCGCAAAATGCTTAGTATATCAGAAGACTGCTGAATTCTGGCTTATAAAAGGCAAAAGAAATAATTGCGATACGATGGTAAAAAAAAAAAAAAACAGCCATGATGGTTGGTCTCAAGGGGTGGAACAATCTGACCGTGGACAGCCTCCATATATAGCCAATTGAAACCAACTTTTACTGATTGATTGATTAATTATTATTGTCTCGATATATTTTTTATAACGGGAGGCGGCGGATGTACCGTGGACTCACTCTCAGTGTCCCAGCCAAAATATAAAAATATTACAATAAGTCAAGAGTCAGCTCATCTTATCTCTTTAGATATCTCAATCGTCAATGTAATAACCATAAATGGCATGCGACTGGCACGCCACGGTGGATCAGTGCTTATGCTCGGCTGCTAACACGAAGGTCGCGGGTGCGATCCCAGGTCGTTATGCGCGCTTGTCCGAGTGCCTGCAGCGTGTGTCTGCAGCGGACGCCGGCTTTCTGACGGGAAAGGTGGCGTGGTTGGGACACATGCACAATGTGTATGCGAACGATTACGACCATGGCTCGTGCTTACCTTTGCATGGACCGGATAGCGCAGCTGAAGCCCTAACCACTGAGGATGGAGAGGGCGCAGCTCCGATTCTACAACGCGCTGAAGCGAGTACGTGTGGTGAGGCCCTAGGGCTTAAAAAAGAACGAGAGAAAGTTTGTTGCCCTCTCACCCACACCTTCGGATACGGCGACCGGGAAGGGACGTTCGAACAACGAAAGACCAAGGAACCTCGTCTTATCACGCAACGGTGAATACGTAAAATAAACTTCTTGTATAAATATATAAACATGAGCCTCGTAGGATTGTACACATCCACCACTTCTACAGCGAAAGCTGTTCCGAGATCACAACATTCTTTCGCGCTCTCGAATGCATTGCTCCGCCGAAATTGCTTCCAGACACCGGTTCGATGGCTGGTGTACACATTCAGTTTTTCTGCGAATGCCTGCGCGCACGTGTGCGAATATTTCTGAGAAAGAAGCATTCCCATTCTCGCGGTCAATTTGAATTGACTGCTGTACCACTTCTACGTCGTCAATGGCCGCGGTGTACTGTCGATGCTCCTCGGCTGCATCTTCTTCGACAGTGGCAAAATCAGTTCTGACACGTGCTCCGCCACATGCAGGCTTACAAAGGAAGACTGGTAACAAGAGTGCCAACATTAGACTGTTTGCGTGCGCTGGGCTTTCATCATATCCGTCGAAATTAATCTCCTCGAGCACGACGATCAACGGCTGAAAGAGCAAACGGTAGCACTGAATCGTGCTTCTCGACCCAGCACGTAATCCCAAAAGGCGCAGTCTAGTAGGCTCCGGACAGCTTAATCTTATCATTTTTTCCCGAAACATGGGAGTGGCTACAAAAGTCATGAGAAAAGACTGACGTTGCTTTCAGAGTCCCAAAACAGTTTTTGATATCCGTGATGGAGCATATGCCGCACACAGAACTAGATTAACGGAATGACTGGCGCAGGGAGTGTATAGAGTGTGGCTGGATATTTCTCACTAACTGTAGCTCGAACACCATTCGTTTTGCCAGCAATCGAACTTGCACCATTGTAGCCTTGACCACAAAGATGCTGCACGTTAATAATCATGTCCAGGAGAAACCTTAATGGTGCCAGTGAGGGACCGGCCACTTTGGTTGTGAATTGGCGCAAACCCTAAGACATTTTTTCAATTTCATTGGCAACCTTATTAAGGTACTCTGCACAGACAGTAAGCTGTTTTATACCAGCAACATTCGTCGTTTCATTGGCGAGCACGGAAAAGCAGCCTGCAGCGTTTACTTTTGCGACTTGGCTTTCCTTGATGACTTCCGCCGAGATTTCTATAATCTGGTTTTGCCCATCTGGACTTGAATACGAGGCATTATTTGGTGAACTTTTCAAATATTTCTTTAGGTCTATGTCGCCACAATCTTCACGCATGCGAAGCAGCGCTCTGAACTTACCTGTATTTGTAGAGGAAGCTGTGCTTGGATGCATGGGACTACTGTCTCCATGCCTACGGAGAGCCAGACCTTGTCATCCGCAAAAGAGAACAGTCTCAGCAAGAGGCCGCAACTTCCTTCGGTTTCTTTTATTTCAGTTTGCCTCTCACGGTCTATCCAGTTGATCAATTTGACTTGGCACACATCGAGGAGGTTTGAAAAATTTATCATCTACCAGCTGGGAGTGGCATTTAGTGGTTTCGAGTGTATCGAAGACTTCGAGGGCGTGCTTTCATTTTGAAATGGTTGGATACTGATGTAGTCGGGGTTCAGCCCACATAGGACCGGAGCCAGCCAAGCCGCGGGGAGAAGTACATCAGAGCAGCCGCAGCAGATATCATGAACGTTTATTTACAGTATTTAGATTCTGAAGGTGGCGTGATTACATGATTGGTGGTAGCATCATGTAAGCTCTCGATGGAAGCTTGATGGGAGCTTGTTCGGAGAGTCTCGGCGCTTGCGTTTTAAGCCCTGGTCTCCCCAAAATTCTATCCACTGGAAAACAGTTGAGGCTGCAGGACAGTTCAGTGAAATTGTCGTCTTCGCCTGCGGCCCCAAAATGGAAAGGTCAAACACTGCCTCCTTCCCACCCCAGAAAAGAGGGAAGAGGCACGCCCAGTTCGTAACGCGGCAAGAAACAGCACACAGTGCGATAACACGCATAACACAGCACAGTGCAAAGACGTTGAGTTCTACGTGCAGATCAACTGTGTTGTCAGGTGCAGTGCTGACTTATGGATAGGACCTGCGGCGCCAGGCAGGCTATGGCTTGTGGAAAATGGTCGCCATAAAGACACCATGGATTACGTGGGAAACTCACCCGAAGACGGAATCCAGACGCAAGACCAATCGCTCGGTGCTATATCAAGTCGAACATAGCAAGCAGCCTCGACTGCCAACAGCGCTTCCGAAGCCGACCCTCGGTCGAGCGTGTCCGAAGAGTTTTTGAGGGGAGACGACTGCGCTGCAGAATTCGGAGTACTGTTGTCTTGTTGTCACCGCTTTTGGCGTATCTCTGGGAGCGCTAACCCGGTACAAAACAGGATAGGCTCAGCATGCCATGCGTCCAAGCGGAGCCAAGCCAGGGAGCCCGATCGAATACGAGGGCCACAGTGCGCAAATGTGGGCCCTTGCCAACCTAACTTCTGCTGAAAAGAACACCCGCTAGGTAAAACGCACCCTCTTGAAGCACTGAAAGCCACCTGTAGTGAAGAGATCAGACTTGTTTGAACGACAGAACAACCGTTTTACTCTATAGTTATTGCGGCATAAGCAGTCTAAATAACACACTTCAATAAACTAAGAGTCTACGAATGGAGTCAAACAATAATCTTATAACATACAAGTGTTACAAAATACAAAAAAATGAACTAACACAACAGCAGAATAAAACTAAAGGGTAAAGTCGTGAAAGTTCGATGGTATGAAGAGGTGAAAACGTAGGTGAGGTGGCCGGCAGCGTTGCGCCCACGTCGGATGCGAGAAGTCCCGAAGAGTTCTGGCACGACTGCGATGTCGGCGGATTCAAGTTGTGACGCCGATGCTTCCGGGAGCTAGCTCCTGAAGGTGATCTCAGGCAGGTTGAGCTAACCCCGTCCCGATGCCTACGTTGCAAACCTGTCTCAACTAGGTGAACGGCTAAGTTTAGGTGGCCTGCGGCCGATACAAAGCGCACACTAGAACTTCTAGAAGTGATATTCGTTGCGCTGCTTGTACACCATGTTGTGCAAGCAACCAGAGGGATTAGCAGGGCAATATCCTGCGCTTAAATCCACTTCGTGTTCTCTCGTTCCCTTCTGGTGGGAAAATGGCACCATAACATGGGTCTAGTCATGCGCGTGCCATTGTTCAAAAAAAAAAAGAAAGAAACGCACCTAAAATATTGAAGACGCTCCTC